GTGGTTGCTGCTAATTCTTTTTTTTGGGGGGGGGAGGAGATTTTTTTGGCGGGGAGGAGAGATTTTCACTATAGGGCGCGTGCGCTCGCCAGTCAGACAGAGAGAGACAGAGAGATAGAAAGTGAGAAATCACCCCCCAGGGGGGATGGCCATGCCACAATCCCTTCTCCTCCATTCTCTTCTCAGGATCTTGGGCACACACGCACACTCGCCCGGCGTGAGTTTTAAGCCACCGGGTCCGGGACGCGAACCGCGGTCGACTACGTGGGAGTCCAGCAACATAGCCATTACACTAACTGCTGGATCCCAAGAGATATTTTTACTATAAGGCACATGCACTTACCAGAGAGGTGGAGAGAGACAGAGAGACAAAAATCACTCCTTCCCCCCACGGGGGATGGCCATGCCACAATCCCGTTTCCTTCATTCTCCTTTCAAGATTTTGGGCATGCACACAAACACGCCTAACATGAGTTTTAAGCTGCCAGGTTTGAGACTCAAACTGCGGTTGACTACATAGGAGTCTAGCGATATAACCATTACGCCATCTGCTGGTCCTATCCAATTGTTTCTTTCTTTTTTAATTCTTCTTTTTTTAAAACATTATCAATCGCTATACATTGTTTGGGTTGTAAAGAGAATTTACCGAACAAGAAATACTTCTCAGTTCAGTTGAGAATACTCTACATATTATCTTCAACAGGTAATAAACCATTTCTGTGTCCCACAAATGTCATGCCTATTTTTTCTCCTGCTTTCCTTCTCTATACTCTTCCTACACTCCCCTCCCCCCCTCCCCCAATTGTTTCTTGATAGCATGGTGGCTTCAGAATTCAGTCTCTTCACTAGCTTCTCTTGGCTATCATTTTAGGAGAAAAAACAAATTCTGTACCTCAGACCAAAGTAAATGCAGGACAGCATGGAAAAATCTCTTCAAATAGGCAGCCAAGCTGTGGTAAAATGAGGGGTCAGAAGGGAAGGAAGCAGGGTCAGATGGCCTGATCACAAGGCTTGAACACAGCTGGGACTTGTATGAAGAGGAAGCACTCTAGATTCAGGAAGCAAAAGGGGAAGATAGGCTGCTCCCCACCATTCCACTTGTGAAATTGAATGGAAGTGCTCCCAACACAGGGCTTGAACCCAGCTGAGAAACCACAAGAACTCCTTGGGAGCAAGAAATCTACAGGAATTTTGTGCTGGGAAGAACATGAACTCTCACCGGAAATCTGTCTGCTTTTGCATCAGACGTCAAGCAGAATCTGTGCATTTCTAAAGTACCTCTCCCAGTGCAAAAAAGATGAGATCTGAAGAGAAGAAATGTTTTGTGTTTCGGTCACATGTCCTAATTGCTTAGAGTAGTCATTTTGAGGTTTTAAAGATTCCCAAGAGGGAAGGTCCTTATTTTAGAGAAAATTTGACTCTGGAAAGATGAACAACAGGATCGTGTAGCAAGGGCTTCTTACAGGTATGTCTGTCATTTTCCTTAACTCTTAATTGCACTAGCAATGTGTTGAAAGAATTATGGGGAAAAGTCGTTGATTTTCCAGAATGGCACCAAGAAAGAGACAGCATTACTAGAGACTGAGGGATCAAGAAAATAATTTTTATTCAAAATAATTCACTTTAGAAATTCTTTTACAAACAGTGGTATTACATGGAGGTGAGGTAGCATTCATTTCCATATTTCTCGACAAGCACATGCTTTCTGCTGCTTATATCTTTCTACCCATACCTAATGACTTAAGCTGCTCTTAAGGGTTCGAGATTCCCCATGTATGTTCTAAAATGGGTGCTGCTATAACTATTGGGCAGAATCTGCAAATTATTATAGTGCATAAAAATACATTCTCATGCTCAGTCTAATAAGCTCTTTTCAGCTAGCATATGTGAATTTAGAGTTAATTTTCATTCTGGCTACTGCAATGCTTTGGCAGAATCTGCAAATTATTATAGTGCATAAAAATACATTCTCATGCTCAGTCTAATAAGCTCTTTTCAGCTAGCATATGTGAATTTAGAGTTAATTTTCATTCTGGCTACTGTAATGCTTTGAGTTTTATTTTTATTTATTTATTTATTTATTTATTTTTTTGAGAGTTTTTTTTTTTTTTCTATAGGGCACGTGCACTCGCCAGACAGACAGAGAGAGACAGAGAGACAGAAAGCGAGAAATCACCCCCCAGAGGGGATGGCCACGCTGCAATCCCTCTCCTCCATTCTCCTCTTGGGATCTTGGGCATGCACGCACACGCGCCCAGCGTGGGTTTTAAGCCACCGGGTCCGGGACGCGAACTGCAGTCGACTACGTGGGAGCCCAGCGACATAGCCATTACACTAACTGCTGGTTCCCGTTTTTGTTTTTAAGATGTTTAAAAATGCATTCACAACACAGTGCATGTGCATGTGAGAGAGAGACAGAGAGAGAGAAAGAGAGAAGCCCCTTCCACAGGATCTGGTCACACCACTATCCCTTCCTTCAATTTTCCAACCCATTGTCAGATCTTGGATACTTGTGTGTATAGTTGGCATGTTTCAGGCTGACCAGGTCCAGGATTAAAAACATGGTCATCAAGTGAGATCAGGCTTCTCTTGAGCAGTGCATAACTGTTGTGACACAGAGTCAGTCCTGTACTGGTTCTTAACTGGGTTTTCCATACCCCAGATGAGCCAGGAGCAAGGATTTAGAAGAAAGGGGTAAAATTCTAGGTAGAACTCTGTGCTCATATTAGGTACAGTATATGCAGTAGCCTTTGGGGAGCAGGCATTAAGCTCTGTACCCTCTCTCCTGAGGGGTAAACACGTGGATTCTAGGTCAAGTGGCCTGGATTTAAACTCAGTCTTAATTCTACTTACTAGCTGAGGGCAAAAGCATGCTAACTCTCTGGGCTTCCTTTTCTCTTCTATAAAACTTCATGGAAAATTATATGACAGGACTGTAAATTGGAAAGTGCTAAGTAATTCTGATGTATCTTTTCTGGGCATCAAGACCCAAAGACCCTTCAAACTAGAGCATGGACTCTGGATCACCTCATTTCTCATCTCCCCCATCCCCACGCTAATGTTCACATGATAGCCATGCCAAGAAACTTGCAATGGTAGAAATGGAAAAGCATCTACTTCTCCCAATTCCACCAAGAAACCTAGATTTTTTTTTTAAAGAATGATTTTTTTAAAATTTAACTTTCTTTCTCTCTCTCTTTCTCTTAATTTGACCAGAGAGGGACAGAGAAAGAGAGAGAAAAAGTGAGAAAGCAAGCTGCCAGGTCTAGGACTTGAACTGTGGTTGGCCATGTGGAAGTCCAAGTGCCCTTAACCACCATGCCACCTGTCGGCCCCCAAAACCTAAATTTCTTTTTTCTTTTTGGAGAGATTTTTGCTATAGGGCATATGTACTAGCCAGAAAGATGGAGAGACAGAAAGTGAGAAATCACCCCCTAGGGGGAGTGGCCACGCCGCAATCCCTTCTCCTTCATTCTCCTCTCGGGATCTTGGGCACGCATGCACATGTGCCCGGCGTGAGTTTAAGCCACCGGGTCCAGGACTTGAACTGTGGTTGGCCATGTGGAAGTCCAAGTGCCCTTAACCACCATGCCACCTGCTGGCCCCTGAAGCCCTGTTTTTCTTTTCTTTTCTCCCTCCCTCCCTCCCTTCCTTCCTTCCTTCCTTCCTTCCTTCCTTTCTTTCTCTTCATCCTTTCTTTTCCTTTTCTTTCTTTCTTTCTTTCTTTCTTTCTTTCTTTCTTTCTTTCCTTCTTTCTTTTTCTTTCTTTCTTTCCTTTTCTTTCTCTTTCTTCTTCTTACTTTCTCTTCCTTTTCCTTCTCTTTCTTTCTTAATCTTTCTTTTTTATCTTTCTTATTTTTTTACATTCAATTACTATATATATATTTACAATATACAAAATGAATTTTCCTAGCATGAACACACTGTATATTAGTCCACTCAAGTTATCAACAGATAATTTTCCATTTTTCCCTTAAACTTTCTGCTTCTTCCTTTTTCCTCTTGATTCCTTCCCTCTCATCCTCCCCTATTTCCTACCCTCATTCCACACCATCTCTAGTATCCACAGTTGCTCTCTATGGTTTTATACCTTCCAATCTTTCAGTTTCTGCCATAGAGTGCAGACATTTAGTACATATTAGGTGAAGCTCTGTTTTTAAATGATCGTTGCAGGATTTCTTCCCACATTTTAGGCTTCCAACAGTCCCTTAGTCCTTGTCTTTTTTTATCAGCTTAGCAATGTCTTTAAATGATGCAGGTATAAGCAATAGGATTATAGGTCTTGGAAAAGAGATTCACTACCCAGCAGGTGGCTTGTGTGTGTGTATCACCATTTGCCTGGCCTAGGTGACCATGAGGAGGCTGTGAGCTGATTGTTTTCTTTTTATTTATTTTTATTTTATTTTATTTTATTTTTTTTCGCTATAGGGCGCGTGCACTCGCCAGACAGACAGCTAGAGACATAGAGACAGAAAGTGAGAAATCACCCCCCAGGGGGGATGGTCACGCCGCAATCCCTTCTCCTCCATTCTCCTCTTGGGATCTTGGGCACGCATGCACACGCGCCCGGCATGAGTTCTAAGCCACTGGGTCCAGGACGTGAACCGTGGTCGACTACGTGGGAATCCAGCAACATAGCCATTACGCTAACTGCTGGTTCCCGAGCTGATTGTTTTCTGTAATGACACACAGAGTAGAGTGTGACTCAGTAAGGGTTAGGGCTGGCTCCTGTTTCCCCAGAAGTGATTTGGTACAGGAGCAAGCTGAGGGGGAGGCCATGGAATTGTTTGAAATCAAGGCCACATTCAGGTTATGCCAGTTGTACATGGAGTGTGGGCCCTGGAATCAGGAATATTAATATTACCTGGAAACTTAATAAAAGTTCAAATTCTCAGGCCTCTCTCCAGACCAAGTGAATCTAAGACTTCAGGGGTGGGGTCCAGTAATTCATGGCTTAAGAAGCCTTCCAGGTGACTCTGATTCACAATGTTTGAGAACTACTTGGTTAGAGATTTAGTTCTCAACCTGGGCTGCACACCGAGGTGTTTGTTTAAAACACTGAATCTGGGTTGGGGCCCAAGATCCCTAGGTGGTTCTGTGCTCAGGCAGAATTGAGAACAAATGCATTTTCTACTTAAGGACAAGTTACTCAGGACAATTTTGTCATGGTCATTCTATCTCCTTGTCAGGATTATGAGTTGGAGTTTGAGGATTTGATGGAGTTTCCTGGCCTAGGACCTGGCTTTGAGATGGAACTGAAACCCAGCTTGAGAATAGTGCCAGCACTTCTTGGTCAAGAAGCTAGAGTCTGTCTGTTAGCTCTCCCTCTCTCTCCTCCTCTAAAGGTCTAGAAGCAGCAGTTGGTGTCCCCTGTACAGGGCCTAGAGAAGAGTTTCTGAAGGAACAGTAAATGGAGAATGGTGGTTGCCAAAGTATACCTACTATAGCTCCTGAAGCTTCTCTACTCTAAACTACATATCTCTAGTTCTTTCAATTCCTTCAGTATCTCCCAATTATTCCCCAATTCCACTAGACCCATGGTCTAGAACTTTGGGCTGAGTGTACTTTTGCTTTCGTTTCTCCATTTTAGATGTCAAACGGATGCCTATTGTTGCCCAAAGTGTGAAGAGGCAGGCAGTGAGAGAAGGACCAATGAGGACAGACTATCCTCAAATGGTAGTGTAAAAGAGACACAAGATAGTAAAGCCATCTCCATTACACAGTGATTTTTTTTGTGTGTGGGAATCACAGATGATATGGAGTCACATTATTAGAGATAGTTAAGAACTGAAGTTGGGAAGTCAGCCTTTCTTTGGGCTATATTTTGTCTAAGCTTTTTAAAACTTCATCTCTGGATTTCAAAATATAAGTGGACAAAATTAAGGGGGCAGCTATTAACTTTGGATCATGTTCAAGAAATTTGACGAAGAAAATGTGCCCAAGCTAGCAGGTGGCATGGTGATTGAGGCACTGGATTCCTACATAGCCAATCATGGTTCGAGTCCTGGATCCCATGGTTTGAAAATCATGCTGGGCATGTGTATATGCATGCCCAAAATGGAGGAGAAGGGATTACAGAATGGCCATCACCCTGGTGTGGGGAAGTATTTCTTGTTGTCCCTCTCTCTGTCTCTCCAGTGACAGTATGGGCCCTATAACAAAAACGTAAAAACCAAAAAAAAAAAAAATGTCCAACTGCATTCAGTTGAAAACCTCAGTTATTAAGGATATTAAGAACCAATTGATAGAGCCATTTCCAGGTATTGAACCATGGCTTAATCAAATCATGCCTAAGAAAGATCCTGTCAAATAGTCTGATGTCATAAAACTATAGAAATACTTATAGTAAATGTAGAATTACTATTTTTTAGACAAAGAGAAGGGCCTTATTTTTTCTTTTAATCTAACCCTAAGGTTGCTTTGCAAATAGTCTTTTATCCTGCCACATTAGTAGGTTGATAAAGG